AAAAAAAAAATATATATATATATATATAATCCATTCATTCCCTTCCTCTCCAATCTCTCCCCATCCCCACCCCTAAATTGAAATAAACATACCGTTACAAAAAACACTTAAGTAAGTTTTTTTTTTTTTTTTTTTTATTTATGGGTAAGACTTAAGGAAGTTACTCCGTATTTGTTATCTTCAAATATAAACCAGAAACGTCTCTTTCAAGAATATTTAGTACAACGATCGACTGAATGAGTGGTGAGCATTGAATAGAAGATAATTGGATAATGCCATTAATATATATATATATATATATATATATATGATAATAATAAATGAACAATAAATGAACAGTAACCATAACTTATTTTGTGTGACTATTTATACTAATTGTAATAAGTCTAGGTGTGGTAGGCCTGGTTCCATGATTACCAAATTAGGTAACACAATTGTTCTTGCGTAGAAGCACTCCTCTGGTCGTTCTTCCTTCTTGATCTTCTAAGTCTTCGGTGCCGACCGAATACTATTTCTACGGGGTGGGGAGGGTACCTGCAAAGACACTCCAACGATCAAGTGAGTATTCGGTATAGAGCAATAAGTGTTTTTATATTGGACAATAACGTACCTTTTTATGTCACATCACCTGTGTATTTATAGTGACACAATTGGGCCTGGTGGGCCTTCAGTCTTGGGAGATGGGTAACACTTGAGTTAGCCTTAATCTCCTCTTAATCTGGCATGGTAATTAGCGCCTAATAAGTATCTAACTTGCCACGTGTTGTTTGTGATCTGCTTTTTGTTGAAGTCCTCGGCTAGGCGTAAGGCCGAAAGGGTGTTCGACCTCCCCCAAGGCCGAAAAGGTGTTCGGCCTAGGTCAATGCCGAGGAAGTGTTCGGCCCAGGTCAAGGCCGAGGAGGTGTTTGACTCGTCCTTGATGGCAGTGTTGCTTATGATCTGCTCTTTGTTGAAGTCTTCGGCTAGGCATGAGGCCGAAAGGGTGTTCGGCCTCCTCCAAGGCCGAAGAGGTGTTCGGCTTAGGTTAATGCTGAGGAGGTGTTCGGCCTAGGTCAAGGCCGAGGAGGTGTTCAGCCCAGCTTAATACCGAGAGGTTTTGATGGGTGTTCTCTTCTAGTGGTAAAGGAGTTCTGGGGTACCCCCCTTTGGCCGAGAGGGTGTGTTCGGCCCATCCTCCAGTCGAAGGGGTGGTGTGTTTTGTCGGCTCGGGCACCCCTTTCGGCCTATTGCCTAACCGAAGGGGTGCCTCCTAGTACAACAATGATTAATGGTGACGGATTATCCCTTAATCTTGTGTTATCCTTGCTAATTGTGATTATCGCCTAATATGTGTTTGTTCAACTGTCTCGGCTGCCAATATGGCTGAGACATGTAGCCAAACAGTTGACATTGGAATGACTAAGTGAGTTTTGTACCTGATATGTGGCAACTCATGTGTCGTGACATGTGGTCACCTCATTCCTTCTGATACAGGATTTGACAATATAAATTTTTTTCATGTTAGTGTATGCATTATTCTTACTAGCTAAAAACAAAAAAGAAATTAATTAATTTTCAACTTTATAATATTAAAAAATTCAAATAGTGATTTTACTTTTGACCGAACGGTTAAAGGGGTTGGCAAAGATATCGAAACATGCGTTCGTTCAACCGTCTCCACTGTTAATATGGTCGAGACATATAACCAAACAGTTGGCGTCGGAATAATTAAGTGAGTTGGTACCTGACACGTGACAAGTAATGTGTCGTGACACGTAGTCACCTCGTTCCTTCCAATACAAAATTTGACAATATAAAATTTTTCATGTTAGTGTATGTATTATTCTTACTAGCTAAAAACAAAAAAGAAATTAATTAATTTTCAACTTTATAATATTAAATAATTCAAATAGTGATTTTACTTTTGAGTGATATATGTTATATATAGCGATGATTAGAAATATAGATACTCACTGATCTTTATCTGCTTAATAATATATTTCGTGTAATTGTGGATTTGTTAAGAATTGTCTGCCATATGAACTTAAATTTGTAATCATAATGGCATGTTCTCAAAGATATACATGTTGAAGAAAAATATTTTAATTTATATATATATATATATATATATATATATAAATTTGTT